TACTGGTTATGATACCAGCACCAGTCAGGGTTATCCGTCTCTCGTGGTCTAGAGACAGATCGTTTACGCGAAATGCTTCTACGTGGACTGCGTGAGCGACTACGGTCGTTACGAAGATTAAGATAACGCGTGAGTGTATGACATAACTCGGTTATGTCATTCTGAGTCGCGTGAGGCTTTTCTTTGACGGAAAATACCTCTGAAGTAGACGATTTCGTTATTTCTAAAATACGATCGGCAGATGCAGCTAGCTCGTCTAAGGCGTTGTTCTGAAACGAGACCAGAACCGCTTGCACCTGTTGAGGAAGTTTAGACAAGAAAAGTTGTTTAAATAGACCTTCGTCGAAAGTTCTTAGGCCTATCACTTCTCTCATTCTTTGCAACATGTCAGTCGCAGAACCGTGTTGCAGGTCGATGTTATTGAAGAGTTGATCTAACCTTTGTCGATCGGTTAGGTCTCCTCGTTTAAGAATCGAACGTTTTAGGATTTCGTAAGGTTCAGAAACATCACTAGTAAACATACTAGGTGTTACGTACCTGTTGAATTCGCGCGGTAGTGCCTTGACTACTGCGAGGAATTGTGCACGTGTGTCGATCACGCCGTGCTCGGAGAAGTCAGCTTCTGCGTAGCAGAACCAGGCTTCGATATTGTCGGGCCAGAAAGGCATGAGTTGAAACGAAGGCGGGGACAAAGTCTTAAGCTTGAGTATTTTGGGTGTCTGTTCAGCCATGATGAAATATGAAGTACGATAATGAACGAGTTGCAATATATATATATATCCAAGGAAAAACACGAAAAAAAATTACAATGTTTAAAAAAAATTAAGATAATAATATATAAAAATTCCAAAAAGGAACAGACTCACAGTTGCAATTAGGTGTACCAGATCACGTCGGTCTCACCAATGATGATGATACAGGTATTCAGTGTTTGACAACGCTTCTACCAATAACACCTTCTAATATGCTTTGTTCCCACCGAGAGAAATCAAAAGACAGAGTCGAGGAGATCGGAAGAGTGTATTTGGCGATAACCAATATATCGGGAATCTCTGATCTAATCTGGCTAGTGGTTGCGATTGTTGTTGAGCACAGCGTGACAGCACGTGATCTGGTGCGGATGCATGACCGAGCGCCTTCAGCTAGATGAGTCCACTAAAACATATGGTCAGCATCCAATGTCGAAAACCTATTGAGATATTTAGTTTGGGGATTTATTTACCGCTACATCCGCATCCACAACATATAACTTCATCCTATTCTCCAGTAAAATTCTAGTTCTGAAATTGAGCTTACTGGCCATCACTGGTTTATGGCTTATGGTTTATGTGAAACCACTAATTTCAACAACAGTTAATCGTTTGTACCTATGCCATTTCATAAAATGTTCACAACACATTGTGAACCTGATTGTCAAAAAGCTGAACATGTCTCATTTGAGTGACTCTCGCAATTCCTACCTCCTCCATTTTTTCGGAATTCAGAGATAATTACAATAGAGTTCATGTGTTCAGTGTACATAATGAATTGAATAAAGCAAGTGGTGTGATCGACAGCAGTAACAGGCATTTATGGATGCACATGAAAGACAGATAATCGAATATTACATTTCTTTGAATTTAGGATGGGTATTCAGCTATTGCATTGATGTTGAATTTCACTAATTAGTTGTGATATCTGTAATATTAATGCGAGCATTATGGAAGTGTGTTCTGCCGTTTGAATCTATAATTGAGTTGACTTGACTTGAATCAGTGAGTTATACTTGTGTCAACATTTATACGACTGGTATGCAGTTTACCATTTCGAATTCGCATATTTGAATGAAAAGTGATAGAACGAGTATAGAGTAATTACGCTGAGTGGTAGTTGGTCAATAAATATGTTAAACGTGTTAGGGCAAGACTTACTTATAAGAAAGTATATCGTACTGATCAACTCTACAGTAGTTCTGAAAGTGGTTCGGATATTCAGGATTCGACGACAGCTTCGTCTTGACAAACCTTGTAATTGAACATCTTAGACCCAGTCGAATGAGATATCAGGAATGGAGGAGTCTGAGTAATTATTTGTCAGATTGTTCGTATGTCGATAAGCGTGTAATCTGGACTGGGTAGTTGTTGGAAGAGATGCGTAGCATCACATACTCATTGCCAGTCTGGTGTGAATGTGTTTCCCAGCGCTTTCAACTAGATCTTGTCTAGTGAAATCGATTAGGCCAACATCAACGTCAAAATCATGCGTAACCATTTGATTTGGTGGTCGATTCACCAATCTAGTTTTGCAATATCGACTATAATAATATTATTATTTCGATATTAATGTTTCTGTCACTAAATTCAAAGAAATGTAATATTCGATTGTCTGTCTTTCATGTGTATCCATAAATGCCTGTGACTGCTGTCGATCACACCACTTGCTTTATTCAATTCATTATGTACACTGAACACATGAACTCTATTGTAATTATCTCTGAATTCCGAAAAAACGGAGGAAGTAGGAATTGCGAGAGTCACTCAAATGAGACATGTTCAGCTTTTTGACAATCAGGTTCACAATGTGTTGTGAACATTTTATGAAATGGCGTAGGTACAAACGATTAACTGTTGTTGAAATTAGTGGTTTCACATAAACCATAAGCCATAAACCAGTGATGGCCAGTAAGCTCAATTTCAGAACTAGAATTTTACTGGAGGACAGGTTAAATGTATGCGTATCGGGAGGTGTTAAAATACTTTCAACAGTGCAAGGGGCGGTATGAGAACAAAATGTGATCCAGAGTGAATTTAATGTGATTCGGGAATGTTGGTGTTGCGAATACGTTGACGTGTTGGTTTTGGTGTTGTAGAACGGGCTTCGAGGTGCAAACAACTACCCTTCTGTTGTTGAAACGTAAGTGCTTCACCATGAGCATAAATACTGGTGAATGAAATTCGAAGCAACATGAAGCGGTTGTTCGTTCACTCTCGTCAATCTCAATGAGCAATTTGTTTGATGCGACGAAACTAGTTTAGTATCTGAATATGTCCTTCACAAAGCAGCACTCAGCCTACAATGCATCGTGTCAGCGATCTCACCACCTGTGAAGCTGAGTTGTAATATCGACTGAACTCTATCGACTGTGCAAAATTCTACGTTCCACCTACCTACATAGATACATACCTACCTACATAGATACATACATACATACGTACATACATACCTATAATGCTTCCACGACTATCGCCGTTATTCCGACAATCTTCATCAATATGGTGAAGGATTTGTACAATGTTCATGAGTAATTGTTCACAGTTGTATTCACGAGTTGGACTAAGTTAGGCCAGGATTGAAATCCTGGAAGAAAAGAACGGCTTTCTAGTCATAATATGAGTATTCTCAGCTGCGGCAATTCAGTATTCGATAGTTCACAACACACGCATTCTTCGCGAATTCCCATACTGATTAAAAGTAACAATGGTAATTGATTCTAGTTTGTAGATCAATGTTGGAATCCACAAAGTAGAGGAAATTGCCTTCATCAGTCAATATTTATGTCCTTTGTTTAGACAGATTTACGGACTGAGACAGTTGTCTGAAGATTCATTCGACTTAGGGAAGTGGACAATAACATAACATAATTGAAGATACCAAGGAAGCAAGCAACTAGTACACTATCATCACATTATCAATTTGTAATTTAACTTAATATAACTATTTAGGTCATCCATTTCACTGTTATGAATTGCGTGCGAACTGCTTGATTGGTTTAATAATTTCGTAAGTGCTTGAAAATTGAGCTACGTAGATTTATTGCGTTTCAAGATACTAAATCAAGGATATATCATTAGAACAGAATGGTAGAAACACAATTATCAATGTGAAAAAAATTGTTACAATAGTGCTGTTGCGTGTAGAACACTTACAAACTCACTCAAATGAAAGTAAGTATGAAATGTGCAAGATTGTCGCATTCAACCGCATGTTTTGTAGACAGGACAACAAAATCAGTTGTATGAGGAAAGAACAAATGGAAAAAAGTAAAACTGCATTGAAAATGAATAACATAGACGATCATGAATTGTGTCAATCGTAATGAGCTGAACACATATTTTGGCACTCAACATGCAACTCAGTGTTCAATGAGACAAAGCAACAAACCAATACATAAGAATTGAAGATTGAACATGGTCAAATAAATGGGCATCATAAGAGATGAAATCAAAAACACAAATGGGCCACAATATCATCATCAGACGATCGACTGTTCACGTGTGTGTGTATGTGTGCGCTTGTTTGCGTCAGTCGTTTCGCGTGTTCGTGTTAGTTGAACGTGAAGAATGAATTGTCGATGGAATTAACGCATCCACTCAATCACTGTGTTAATCATTCACGTGCTCAATCAGTCAGCTGATTTGCTGAAGAGCACACAAATGCATTCACTGTGTGTTCATTACTCAGTCCGTCTGACTACACAAACGACCAACTGACTCGTACGACTACTCACACTCTCATTCAAATCACTACACCATGGATTCATTGAATGATTGATTGAATGATTGAATTATTGATCGGTCGATTGATTACCTGGTTTATCAGACGAGTACGTGATTGACAGTGGTGTGTGGTTGGATTATGGTGATTAAGGATCACATGCATGGATTGTGTTGAGGGTGGTTGAGAAAGGTTGTGAGAGATGGTTAGTATAAATACTGGTGGATGTGGTCGGTGTCTGTGTGACTCGATCCGAGTGTTTGACAGCATTGAATTTGCAGTGACTCGAAGTGAGCAGTGATGCGACAGTGTGTGATCTTGTGTTTGTTCGCGCTTCTCAGCATCTACGGTGTTCACGGTGAGTGACGACAGTAAATGCAGTGAGTGACGACAGTAAATGCAGTGAATGACTGGATTGTTTGCAGTATTTGTTATACCATTATTGTGTGTATGTGTGCGTGTGTATTGCTGTTGACGATTGTAGTGGTATTTGAAGTGGTGGTGATGTAATCCTTGAAGATCGAGTGTTATTGTTGAAAGAGTAGTAGTAGTTGCATTGATGATGTTGATGATGGTGTTGTTAGTGGTGGGAGAAGCAGTGATATTGGAGTGATTGTTTGTGGTGTTTGTATTGTTGTTTGTAGTGGGAGTGTCAGTATTGGTGATGATATTGGTGGTTGAGTTTCGCGAATTTGTGATAGAAGTGGTACAATCGACAGTGTTGGTTGATAATTTTGTTGTTGTGGTGACTGTGTTGGTGGTAGAAATGACGGTTGGATTAAGAGTTTAAATCGTGAATTTGGTAGTGTTGGCTGTATGATTGATTGTTAGTAGTAGGCAAAGAAGTTTGAGCAATAGCGTTTGTGATGGTGATTTTGATTGTGATTTCGATTGTGATAAATATTGTTGAGTGAATAATAATATAGAAGTGTTGTTGTTGTTGTTGTGATGTTTCAGCGAAGATTTCAGCTGAGAACGGAATGTGTTTTGGAGTGGGAAGATATTGTGATGGTGCCGGACATAGGAAGTGTTGTCCACCACACAGCTGCAAGCTGATCAATCCACGAGAAGGAGTGTGTGTCAGAGGACAGTGTTTGCAGTAGAAAGAACAATGTTTACAAGGTAAGGATTGCTGCAGTGGACACTGTGTGCATGGACACCGTAGAGACAAGTAACTAGATGTCTACAGCTACAACGCATGTCAAGTTTCTGCTTGACTAGACAGACGGCCAGTCAACTAGCTACACAGTCCACTTAATACACAATCCCTTTCCCATCTTGCTCTTCACATATAGACCTTCCAACCACTCACATGTTCAATCATAACTTCTTTCTGTCATTATAATAAATGTGCTTATTGAAACCAACTCTCTGACTTCTACTCGGTGTCCACACACTGGTCGGTTGTGTGCGTGTACACGTGAATGGAACACTGACTGTTGATGCTTCAGTCGAAGTGAGTAGTGTTGATTGAATGTGCTGCTCATTTGAGTGAACGATGACTGACGATCAGTGATAGCGGTTTTAGTATTATTATTAGTGTTTATACTGGACATGTGCGAGTTGTTATTTTTGAGGGATATGTGGAAATGTACATTGGAATATTTTTGACTTTTCTTGCTTGTTTAAGTTTGGGTAGTCTCAGTTAACATATTATTGGTGTTATTTTTAGTATGGAAATTGTATACATTCATATGGATTTATTCCAGTAGTTTTGATGTAGGTATTGGCATCAGTAATTTATCAGTCATTTGGGCATATTTAGAATGGTTTTTCATTAAATACTAACTGAATCACTTTAGAAATCTTTAGGTATTGAGAAAACTAGTCATGTGTTTTCAACAGGGATAATTTATTACAGTCGATTATTTTACTAAGATGCAGTTTCGCGATATATACTCTCATTCCAACTATCGTTTCTACCACCATCACAGCCACCACAATAACAAAATCATCAACCAATACTGTCGATTGTACCACCTCTAACACAAATTCTCGAAACCATACCTCTACTGTCATTATCATTACTGACACTCAAACAACAAACAACTTCACTACAGTTTCTGCTTCTCCCACCACTAACACCACCATCGTCATCAACAACATCAATGATGCAACTACTACTCTTTCAACATTAACACTCGATCTTCAAGGACTACATCACCACCACTACAAATACCACTACAATTGTCGACAGCAATACAGACACACACAATTTTAGAATCACAAGTGCTCTTATTAATCCGGGCATTCGCTTTGGTCAAGTGTGCAAAGGAACTTCAGTTGCATACAGGAAATTTCCGAATCTCCTTCATATGTCTGAACAGTAATCAACCCGAATATTATCATATTCTGAGTAGCAACTTGCTTCATTAAATATTTCTCAAAGCCGCAATTAAATGCTCTGACCAGTGGAGTTCAACTGTGTTGACTGTGAGGCATTTACTGATCGAAAACAATAGAAAACGTTTGCGCAACATTGTGGATTGGTTGAAGTTGGACTCTGTCAACGTTGGATACCAGCTCAGTGTATTAGATGTTAAGCGTACGCGCTAGGCCGAAGGTCCTCGATTCGTATCCTGTGTGCGTTGATGGGAATGATCACCTTTGAGGAGTTCCATACTTGGATAAAATGGACGTTCAATGCTTCCAGGTTTTGAATGCCAGTCTAAATGTGATCGGTTTATGATTTCAATGAAAAATCAAATTACTGAAATTCATATCTTTAGTGTCGAAATGACTAATATACAATGTTAACACGAGTAAGTGAACGATTATTGACGACCAGTGCTAGTGTTTGCAGTAAAATTAGTCGTGTTCATACTACAAGTATACGAAGAGTTATTGTTGAGGGACATGTTAAAGCGAACATTGGAATTATTGTGACTGTTCGTCTTTGTTGAAGTCCGAGTGGTCTCAGTTGATATATGATTGATTGTGTATCTAGTAGAATTTAATTTGTTCTACAGATAAACTAGTAGAAACGTCAACGCGATGCATTCGAGCACAGAGTCTGTGTGAACGCTTTGATCAAAACAAGGGCAATTTGGCTTTAAACTTTATCACTTTCTCAACGTAAAAATAATTTAATGGTACAATAAGTAGCAGCAGTCTCTGCATCAGTAGGCCTCAGTATACACAAAGGGAAAACCAAAGTCCTCAAATTCAAAGCGGAAAACAACAATCCAATCACTCTTGATGGCGAAACTCTGGAAGATGTAGAATCCTTCACATACCTGGGAAGCATCATCGATGAACAAGGAGGTTCAGATGCAGACGTAAAGGCAAGGATTGGCAAAGCAAGGACAGCATTCCTACAGTTAAAGAACATATGGAACTCAAAACAACTTTCAACCAATATCAAAGTGAGAATCTTAAATACCAACGTCAAAGCAGTTCTACTGTATGGAGCTGAAACTTGGAGAACTACAACAACCACCATCAAGAAGGTACAAGTATTTATAAATAGTTGTCTACGCAAGATACTCAACATCCATTGGCCGGATACCATCAGCAATAGCCTTCTGTGGGAGAGAACAAACCAAATTCCAGCTGAAGAGGAAATTAGAAAAAAACGATGGAAATGGATAGGATATACATTAGGAAAATCATCAAACTGCATCACGTGGCAAGCGCAAATTTGGAATCGTGAAGAGAAGAAGAAAAGAGGAAGGCCAAAGAACGCATTAGTATGGAACTCCTCAGCAGTGCGCATCCACGAGATTCGAACCCAGAACTTATCAGCCTCGAGCCAGGCGCTTAACCAAATAGAATACTGAGCCGGTATCCAATGGTTCGAATCTCGTGAGGTGTGGGATCATGGATGCGCACTGCTGAGGATTCCCATACTAGGACGAAACGGCCGTCCAGTGCTTCCAGGTTTTCCATGGTGGTCTAGCATCAATCGACTCATGATTTCAATCTGTGAAATTTTTAAAATCTCCACAAACCCCTTCTGATAAAAATGTTTAGTCCAAAATAGTTTCTTTAATCACATAATCACTCATATAATTAGCACCCAAAAACTCCCATGAATTTGATACTTTAAGTTAGACAAAATAAAGATTGTTAAAAGTGAGACTTTGTTGTTGATATTATGGTTTCCGTTTCAATTAATTGTTCACTTATTATTATTATTATTATTATTATTATTATTATTATTATTATTATTATTATTATTATTATTATTATTATTATTACAATGAATCAAAGTAGAGTGCTATTTGATGTGAATTCTGTGGTACAACATTTGTTCATTTGCTGATGAAGTTAATTATAACATTGATGAATAAATGAACTGTATATCATCTATCATATGATTGAATATTCAGAATTGAAAAACAATTCCATTAGTATAGGGCAAGTAAACAGGAGACAGGAACAGACAGTAGGTGAGTGAGAGAGAGAGAGAGCGAGAGTAAAAGACATTCCTACAATAATGAATGATGAAAATGGAATGTTCTAGTTTGAGATCATTTGTATTGATGTATGTATAGCTTTACCACTGATATGGATTGATTACGTTAGAACATTGTTGACCGAACTTAATGAATGTAATTAATTGAATTTGAGGTAAAATTGAATACGTGTGTGTATTTGAATAATTGACTAGACATTGTATATCTAGTTGTAGAGAGAGAAACAGATGAATTAACTGTATGATTCTGATTATAATATTTATGATGTGTATGATTAATGATCTAGTTGTTCGTTATTTGTATTAAGATTTTCATTATAATCGTAATGTTTATGGAATCATGTGCACTGATTAGTCTTTTAATGGATCCAACTTAAACAATAAATCTCAAGTTCAAATCTAGTTTCAGGTTATTATTCTTTATCAGTCAAGTGATTTCATCATTTACTGTTTAATTAGTGTAAATTAAGGCTGATGCATTAAGATTTTCATTGCAGTTTAATGTTTATGGAATAGTGTGGTGTTGCTTTATTGATTAAATAAATCAACTTCTAACGAATCGGTCTCCGATTCAGAATCTCAACCTATCTATCCTGTCTCACATTTTTAACTTGAATTTGCGAAATATACTAATGTAAAATAAAGCAACCGGACGAAAGTTCGTTCATCTTATGTTTTTTTATTTATGGTAAAAACAGATCAATGATATTCGTTGACAAACGTTTTGTCATAAAATTTTGACTAAAATAAAGTTCACAATGATAATTTGGTAATGATCCGTATAGCGTCTTGGCGATTGTCGACATCATAAATGGATCAATGTTAGACCACCATTGAAGACCAGATAACACTGGATGGCCGTTTCGTCCTAGTATGTGAATCTTCAGTTGTGCGTTCCACGATCCCATATGTGGGACTCGGACCCAGGACCTTCGGTTTCGCGTGCAAACGCTTAACCTCCAGACCAGTGAACCGGCATCCAACGGTGTTAATTTTCTAATTTCAAATAATCCACGATACTTCGTGACCGTCTATCATTGTCGTCACTGAGTAACTACCTCACAACAGACATGATTGAAGTCCACTTGTCATGGCTTCTTAATAGAACTTCAGGAGATACATTTTGAAGCTAGTCACTAGTGAGCATATGATAATTATCAGTATAGCGTTGTGGAGATTGTTGAGTTTAGATTAATACCATAAATGGATTAATTTGGTAATAAATAATTAAATAACTTATATAAGAAATTTTATATGTTATCAACAAATTGAAGATAATTTCTTGGTCGTTTATTCATCTTGTTTAATGTTTCCTGGTTTACAATTGTTGTTGAACTCAAGTCGTCTTCTTCATCGAAATATGATGAATTTACTGTTGAAATATGAATGTATCTAATGATACATACAAATAGGGAATTACAATATTAATATTAGGAGGGTTTCTGTGAATATTATAGTAATTTCAATGGTTGAGATCATGAGTGAATTGAAGCTAGACTACCATGGAAAACATGGAAGCATTGAACGGCTGTTTGTAAATAAATCATTTGATCCGATCAATACTATAGAACGTATCGTAGTGGAGCAATAAGTATTGACCCCTTGTTGGCATATTATAAATCAATGTGACAGGAGAGATGAAGAACAATTGAGGTGTAAAAATAATTATTGTAAACGAAAACGAAAAATTTAAACCTTCCGCTAAAAACGCGATTGAAAAACAGAATGACAACAATAAAATTCACAATTTAAAAACTAATATGTCAAATAATTACATAATTATCAATTCGATAGATTATAGTATTGTATCATCTCCTAAACATAAGGTGCACAATATTTTTGATAGGTTTTCTAATTGTACTCTAGATTCGGTTCTCTAAACGCTTGAGGCTAAATCTATAAGGTAACTTGAATACAAGAGAAAAGCATATGAAGTGTAGAAAGATTACTTAACTTCAATGTTCCTTGATGTACAGAAAATTTCAGTTGCCTTTCAGCTTCTGGTAATTTCTTTCATTCTTTTTTTTCAGAGTTTCATGATCAGAAAACTTCTTTGCAATGATTTTTTTGATTTGATTTATACAAGAACACAGATCGATGTTCTCTTTGACATACGCTAAACTTCTGTGTAATATATTATCATTCTTCAAAGAACATTGACAATACTGAAATATACTAATGTTATGTCCCTAATCTATAAATACTATACTAATAGGTAGAAATTGTTCAATTCCTTTCTGAAGAATATCAACTAATGTGAATCCTAGATTACAAGAGAATCAGTGTATTACATTAAGTGATGTTACTTTATTGTTAAACAATCAAATCTATAAATTTTGATGGAGGTTTGTTCTCTGAGCTAGATGGTTTGGTCGTTTAGCTTTCATCGTTTTTCTGAACGACATCATCAGCACAAACTTCAAAAGAACGATGAAAGCTCCGCGACCAAATCATCCAGCCCAGAGAATAAAACTCCATCAAACTCATCCACTTTAGCTACAAATCTTTTCCACCATCTCAAAATCAAATTTATAGAAAAATATGAAATAATATGTATATTGTCTATTTTAAAACAAGAATAGTTGTAGAAAATAAAATTGACAGAAATACGCATCAACTTAAAACAACCTTTTTTAAAAGAAAATGAGCAGAAATAAATAAACACTAACTTACATTTTCGTTTGATCATTCCATTTGTTCGAAAATCAACCACTGCTACTCTCCATCTTTGTGTAGCTGTACCATAACCGTACACAGCAGCAGCCATAGCTCGACCACCTGGTTCTGTAACTAATCCAGTAAACACAACTATTTCATCAGTTCTCTGGGATGAAGAAGATGATGATGATGACCATTTGTCATCATTGGTTTGAAATTGATGATGACTGTCTGCATGCATCTGATTTATAGGTGATGACATAGTACTACTGATATGTGAAATATTATTAGTACCATTATTGATATTGTTTAGTGTACTGGAATTAACAGTAGTAGAAGTAGTAATAGTAGTTGTGGTGGTCGTTGTATGAGGGACAGCATCCGAACTTGATCCAGTGGTAGTAAGAATTGTATTTTTATCAAAAACAATCCTTTGTCCTTCAGTTGGAGAAGGTATATCTGTTACTTTCACTGAGGCTGATTTAATCTTATCCAGAGATTCTTCACTATCATCCAACATATCATCATGATGAGCTTGACTTTTCATTGAATCATCTTCATTATTGTTAACTTGATATCGATTTGATTCATTAATACTCCATTGTCCAGTACGTAAAGGAATAGTATGCCAACATTTACCTTCATCTGTACTGAAACGTAATACATCTGGCCACAGAGTTTCAGCTGGGACAGCTACAATTAAACCTCCACGATTAGCTATTTGATAATGATGTGGTCCATCAAGTGCCTACAGAATAAATAAACAAAATGAAAGAAATAATTTAGTCGGTGGAACTGAGTAGTTCTTCGTAAAACTGATTTTTAAGTAGCAAATGAATGGAATTTTATGGATAGAACAAGTAACAAACTGGTATATATATCTTAGGAAGCTGAAGATAGGATTTCTAGATAGTTTAAACAAAAAACAGGCTTAATCAAAAACCACAATGTGCGAAATAGCTATTTTATTCTACTGCGCTATTCCATATCAGTGCATATACATGACTCGGATACGAGGAGAACGCTTAGAGTGAGGTGAATGACTTCATTAGTTTTAGTGCAAGTAGTATTTTATTGGTACATACATTATCTTCAAATGATATTATTTCACTACATAATCTAATATCATGACCTTTCTAATGCATTATTATGTCTATTCAGTGTTCATATGTACTCGTGAAATTAATACTGAAAAGTTCGTACATAAAACCGATTAGACAGCTGGATGATCAATTCTTTGAAGATATTTGCGTTATTAAGAAATATTAAAACAAAATAGAATGGCTGATTTAGTTGTTGAGAATGGAATAATCATGGGTGGCTATTAAAATTATCTGGATGTACCTTCATAACAGTATTGGTTTTACAATAGAACTCTAACTCAGTAAATTCCTGTTTTGAAAGTCAATGCACTATCCACTAAGCTACTGATTCCAAATGAGTACTGGGATTCAATGACATTAAACTGATAAGTCGTAAATCGAACGAAACGTTCATTTTAAATACTAGTACTAGCCGCATTCCTACTCTACAGAATTGTCGAAACTAAAAGGTCATATGAAGAAAACAAGGTCTGGATGTATATATATACCAATAGATATTATTTATTTACTCTTACAAATAATTTACATAGATTTGAATGAAAAATCACGGAAGATGATTGTTGGCTAAGTAGGCTCTTTTGTAAAAGTTGTCAGTGTTTAGTAGTTTGAATATATTTCTTCATGTCAAAAATTAACATAAGTCATGGAATAGCACTAAAACCTAAAGGATTATTGAACGGTTATTTAATTGTCTTAAAAGTCCTGAACAGTGTACACACTTACGATTCCATCTGTAATCGAATACAAGACCACTAAATTTCACGGTGAGTACATGAAGCCCGGATAACTAAGAAAAAAATCCAACAATTTTAATTTCATTCAAAATAATGAATTTCAGTTGTTATGTGATTGAAGGTTGCCAGGAGGAAGCCCTGAACAAGCCTAGGTTTCATGTTAGTTGGCACTTGTCGACAAGGTGTAGCTACATTAGCAGGTAAACTAATGGTCCCTATGGTATTCGAAATTGTATCACTTAGCTTTATAGTCCAAGACTTTACCACTAAGCTACTTGAGACACTAAACGAATTTATGACAGGTTTATGTCATTATTCCAGCAATCGGTTAAATTTGTCCCACTATCAACATGTTGAAAATTCACTAGTTATTAAAAATCCATTCTAAAACTAGTCACTCCATCAATAGAGAAGTATTATCAACTACCTTTCAGTTCAAAATGAAAGGTAATTTTAGAAAACATATTATTCTATATCTCATTTAACATTTAATATCAGATGATAAGTTTGCGTGTGTAATCCACATATTAGAAACTAAAAATTTTAGAAACACAAGCAGTATTGCAAACTTTCAATCTTGCATAATATATAATTAATTCATCTATGAGATGGTGAAGATTTGTAGCTCAGGTGGATGATTTTGATAGAGTTTCGTTCTCTGAGCTGGATGATTTGGTCATACAGCTTTCATCGTTCTTCTGAAGTTTGTGCTGATGATGTCGTTCAGAAAAACAATGGAAGCTAAACGACCAAACCATCCAGCTCAGAGAACGAAGCTCCATCAAAATAATTCATCTATGATTAGACCATATAAAATCTATCCTAAATGTTCTTTTAAATGAAAATTATTAAACGAAAAATATCATATCCTTAAACTAATCACATATACATAAAGAATATTTCATACAGTCCTAGTAAGTCATCTTGATCCATGCAGTTAAATAATGTCGTACATGAAACAGAGATCATCTATGATAACGGGAAGTTAGAATAATGATAACAGTATATTATTATTAATCTAATTAAATCAGGAATGTGAACTATCAGTGTTTGAATTAGTAATTTAATCAGAATGCACTTACCATAATCCCTGAAGGCAATGTGGTGTGATTGCTACAGGGATTCTTTATCCAATGAGCTCTAGTTTGAAATGTTTGTCTAATTAAATTTAGTAAGTATTTTAAACTATTAACAAACATTTAATGTTAATAGTTGAGATCATGAATCAATTGAAGCTAGATCACCATGGAAAACCTGGAAACACTGGGAGGCCGTTTTTTTCTTAGTATGAAAGTCCTCAACACTGCTCATCCACCATCCCACCTCTCGAAATTCGAACTCGAGATCTATCAGCCTAACTTCAATTGACTCATGATTTCAACTATTAAAATTACTATAATATCTTTCACTGGTTGAAATCATGAGTCAGTTTAAGCTAGACCATCATGGAAAACCTGGAAGCACTGCACGGCCAAAAGATTTTATATGTTTAACAGCTGACAAATGTGTATCGTAATGGCTTATTAGATGTGATTTGCACAATCCGAATAAACAGTTTGACATAATGAAGAGTTACCGGTTTGTTGTTGTATTGAAGTCATTCTATAGCAGAAGTGACTACAACTCCAAGAACAATTCGTCATAAGCTTCAACAAGTCGAATAGAAACATTTATGCACAGTTGTTAAAGTTGAGTGGATAAGAAATAACAAACTTTCACACTGTTATTACCACAATTAACAATAAACAAAAATACTTTAAATTAAATTATAGCCAACTTTTCACGAACTAAATGAAGTGCATTAGACTGTTTAAAACAGTTGATCATTATATATTTAATAACAAAAGATGAATCAATCCTATATCAGATAAAACTAACCCACTCATTTGGACATATAGCGTCTTGACTTTTTAACTGATATCAGTTCGTGCTGAAAACTATAAATCTAATTCCTGACCCTAACTATCAACTGTAAATCATAATCCTTATTCTTTAAACTGCTTTATTACCCTCATTTAAGCCCAAAGTAAAGCCTCGTCAAACATTGTTGTGAAACACTCGCTCGACTCCCTCGACCCTGTTACAATAAAAAGTAATCATAAGATGCCAGTGGTTAATATACAGGATCTAACGTCACTATCGAAAACCGTCAACACGATTTCAAAAGAAGTTAAACCCTTTCACAGTTTAATTGTTTGGAATTTTGAGGAGTCGAAGGACGATGACCCTGCTAATAGACATACACACGATCTGCAATTAGTGGAATCTGTGATAAGAAATGTACTACCTGAAGAGGTTTCAGGGTTTTCATATCACGAAAGCAATACGACTCGGTAAATGGGTTGGACACGAGACGCACTCAAGAAGGATCTTGAAGCTGGTTCTCGAAATTTTTGAAGAAAGAGATATGTTATTAAAAAACGCACTAAAAATGTGATTAAATATTCGTGTCCGACAAGATTGGCCACTTAAGGATCGATTCAATTGGAAGAATGCTCTTACGGAGTTGAGAACTCGCAAGTCAACTGGCCAAACTAACCTTACCATTAAGGGTTTACGGGTATTCAGGTCTTGGAAGCCAATGCTTCTGAGGTCTGTATGGGTAGAATGAATGATTACCAAAACACCTTGAGTGTGTGCTAGACGAACGTCTGTAATTTTAGAAATAAAACATCCGAGTTAAGTCTGATGTTGGATGAATTAAGTCCCGATATAATTGATGTTACAGAAACTCGGTTCACCATAGACATACAATGTTCGCAGGCTATATCTTTATTAGAAGTGATAGAGTTTTAAGTCACAAGAGAGAAGTCATAACGTTATACGTTAGGGATCACTTTCGTATACAATCAATCATATCGGAGGCTCATATCAGTAGTACATGTGAGGTTTCATGTTGTAAGATTAAATCTGGAAATGGTTTAGTGACTATAGGGGGAATATACCGTAGTCCGTATTGTCTTGCTGACGACTTTATCTTAAGACACATCTGTTCTTAGAGTATGGCAGAGTGTTGTCCTATCATTGAGGACTTTAGTGCTCTGCATATCATTTGGATAGAGCTTATAGCTCCAAGTGGTGGTTTTGAAATCGACTTTTTATCAACCGTTATTCAGTGTGCAAATTGCACAATGTATCGCAAAACAGTCACATATTGACTGGAAAAATGATCCGTTACCGCTGAACGTCGCCCTCACCCACCACTGTCAGGATGTTATTGATATTCAGCACCTTTACCCACCAGTGAACAGTGATCATGTTGTAAGTTAAGGATACATGGTATAAAATTTGCACCTGCTTCACGGCGTCCTAATATCTGGCGAGCAAATATTCCGGCAATCAGAAACTGTGTTATCTCTATTTATTGGTCGGTCGACGCGGATTAATGAGGAAACCCGGAAGCTGTTAAAGTTTAAGAAACACTTCTGGGACTTATTCTTGTTGACAGGTCATGCATCACTTAAGCGTGAATGCCGAAAATTCCGGAATATTTGTATGAAAACAATAGCTTAGTCATATATTATTTTCGAACAACAGTTGGTATATGATTGACGTACTTGTCAAAAACGTTTGTTTTCGTATGTTAAACGGCGAATGAAACGTAGTGATGGTATTCCCCCGTTACTGTTACACGAAATTTCAGATCTACTAGCTGAATCAGATCGAACAAAAGCTGAGACATTTTCAGACTATTTTAGCGAAGTCTTCTCTACGATTATTGTAACAAATACTAGTCTCAATCATGACGAGATACCAACCATTGAATCAGTACAGGTGACTGAGGAAACTATTTTTCCGTTGATAACTAACCTCAAACCTTGTATGATACCGGGCCCTGGCTAGTTACATACACGGCTGCTGTCATCTCTTGCAGACATTATTTCCAAACCTCTTGCGACACTCTTCAATATGTCCCTTTCACTCGTTCAACTCCCTAGAGATCGGAAAATCAGTCCTATATTTAAGGATGACCAAAGATAGATCGTATCTAACTATCGGCTCATCAATCTAACTAGCATCGTTGTTGAGTTGCTTGAAAAAATAATTCGTATTAGGTTGCTAAGCCCCATAGATTCACACAATTTGTTAGCTCCTGAGCAAATCGGATTTCGTAACAAGCGTTCATACTTGACTAACTTGCTTATTGCGAGGGAGGATTGGATAGCAGCCTTAGATAAAGGCCTGTCTGTCGATGTGATAGTCATAGAATATAGAAAAGCATTTGACAAGGTTTCACACTTGAGTCTTATGCAGAAGCTCACGGGCTTCAAAATAATAGGTACTGTACAGAAGTGGATAGAAAACTTCTTATATGGCCGCAGACAGAGAGTGAGGGTCAATGAAACTCTATCCGACTGGAAGCCGGTCAAAAGTGGTGTACCGCAAGGCACTATCATAGGCCATCTGCTCTTCCTTCCCTACGTTAAAGATTTATCGCTGTTGCTTAGGTCGTTGACATTATTGTTTGTGGATGACGTTAAAATCTGTAGAAGAATAAAAAGTGCGATTGATCCTCTTGAACCTCCAGCTGACTTAGACGATATAACAAGATAGGATCAAGAGTGAGGCTTAGAAATCAATGCTAAGAAGAGTGTGCTAATGCACATCGGTCAAGGTAATAGTTGCCAATATACGATTAAGGGTAAACCTCTTCCATGTGCTCAAGAACATAAAGACTTAGGAGTAATAATAATTTATGACTTAAAAACAACTACGCATTGCAATGCAGCCACTGTCAAAGTTTTTCATGCGTTATGGTCACTTCGTCAAATTTTTTGACAAGGAAATGTTTCAAATTTTATATCCCACCTATGTAAGATCACATTTGAAGTACTGTATTCAAGCAGCCGGGCAATGTCTGGTAAGGGATAACAACTTACTTGAGCGTGTCCACCGTGTGGGAACAAAATTAGTGAAGGGTCTTTATAAACCCCCCTACGATGAGCGTGATACACGGGTGCAATACACCTACCTTAACAACGCGATATCAGTAAAAAGAACAAAGACGATCCAACACTAAAGTAATTTTTCGTGAGATATATTTGTACAAATGGATGTAAATGCTATGCATCGGAATCACATTTCAAATTCAGTTTGAAAAGGATATGAAGCTACGTGGCGTGTGTTATGTCCTGTCAATGGTGGTCTCTCAGTTCGTCAAACGGTCTCTGGAAGCGTAGATAGATGAAGCTTTAATCATGTTTTAGAGTTCAGATTTGTGTGGTAAAGACAAAATACTGTGTCCTGTGTTATTTATTTTTCTTATTTGCTTCTGTGAGTGTTCAGTCTTCTCTTAAATGAGTCCATTGAAGGTACGGATTATATTGATTCAGGTAACAGGTTCCTAGGATTCGGTATAAAAACCCGTATGCCATGGGTATTTTGTTCGTTCTTGAATTTTTTACTGGTGCAAAACTTCTAACTTCCTTGGGAATGTAATAAGCTGAAATCATTATCATAAGGCAGACAGTCACTGTTGACGATTTGGTCAAAAGAAGATTTTCCCTATTATAAAGGCATCAAGTGCTTGGCCTCGTGAACAACTTCTAGCAGACGATTGTTTGTAACCATCGTGATGGAAGCTGAACAAATTTACAACGACTGAAACGGAGTTCCTATTAAAGATTATTAAAAATATTCCGAGATGTAGATGTTAGGAGATAAGGTAAGTGTAATACACACATTCAACTAACAGATAATCATTTGGATATAAAGAAGCGAATTGTGAAAAAAAACACAGAAGAATATTCAAAAATCAGAAGGGAATCCGTCGGAATCAATAAATATATCAGAAATTAATATAAGATTAAAAATTCATCGTTCACACAAATGAGCAGCACATTCAATCAACACTACTCACTTCGACTGAAGCATCAACAGTCAGTGTTCCATTCACGTGTACACGCACACAACCGACCAGTGTGTGGACACTGAGTAGAAGTCAGAGAGTTGGTTTGAATAAGCACATTTTCTATAATGACAGAAGGAAGTTATGATTGAACATGTGAGTGGTTGGAAGGTCTATGTGTGAAGAGCAAGATGGGAAAGGGATTGTGTATTTAGTGGACTGTGTAGCTAGTTGACT